GTGAAGAATAACTATGACAGCACCAGGGGCTCCCCGGCTGCGGATGCAGGTCAGCGTGTCTTTCCCTCAGCGATGCTAGGAAAGGCAGCTGAGACAGGGAATCTGAGTTGAGGGGCCTGGCACTCTGGATGGGTGGCACCGGGACTGGCAATGGCATCCCATCTCTCCTAAAGAGATGCAGCATCATGCCCAGCACTGCAGCAGGTCCTAGAGCCCTCACGGCCCATCAGACAAGGCCCGGGCTGCTTCAGTAAGACAAGGGCAGTGTGGGAGACTGTGGTGCTTTCCCGCTGGGCTCCACGGCGCCCCTGGGGCCTCCGCAGGGAGGCCAAGTGAGTAGGGCTCGTGGCCTCATCCCAGCTTTAGCAGAACAGCTCTGGTTTTCACTTTTATACCCCAGAGTTTTCATATAATCTTACCTTTGCAACAAGGAGGTCTGCTGCTAAAACAAAAGAAATTTTGCAACTACTGGCCCAGGGGTCAGAAGTTAGGGCTGAAAGACTTGAGTTCTATTTCTGGCAAGACCACTGGTCAGTGATCACTGCCTTTTTTCTGGGATTCAGTTTGGGAGTCTATAAAAAGATGTTTAACCTCACACTTAAACATCAATTTAAATGAAATTTGCTGTGGATGTGCTAGAGACATGAGAGCAGTCAGCATGAAAGGGAGCTCATTCCTTCATTGAACACACATTTGTGTACTTGCTACTATGCTAGGGAAGGGGTCCGCAGAGGTTAACAGACAGGTAAGGACCTTTCCTTACCCACTGATGTTCAGTGAGAAGCAGATTTTCTCTGAGTATCACCTTGCAAGGCTACCTTAAAAACTAGAGTTCCCAGGGGAGGATGGCAAGACTGGTGGGGAGAAGTCTAGAAATCATGCAAAGGAGAAAGAGCCTGGGAATGTACAGTCTGGAGAAAAGTCGGGGGAGACAAATACCCTAAGGGCAGTCACGGTAAAGGAAGAGAACTGGATCATAGATTGGGTCTTTTGAAAGGCAGAGAGTAAAACAGAGGGCAGGAGTTATAAGAAGACAGATTTTGGCTCAAAAGGGAGGGCATTTTAACAATCAGAAGTGTCCAACAAAATCGACTGTCATTGGGAGTACTTAAGCAGAAGTCAGATGACGACCCTTGTCTGTTGGGCTAGACACTAGATTACCTCTAGAGTACTTTCCACTTCTGGGATCAAGGACTCTGCACTCACAACCATGCTTTCCCCTTCCTGGGGTGAAATGAATGAAGGAAACTAGTCTATGTAACTAGGAAAATTCTTCCGCCAACACAGGACCCAGAGACTAGCACAGTTCTTATGTATGCTTAAGTCCGTCTCATTAAAAAAAAATCCTTCTCTGAACTACATGTCCCACATCCTCTACTACACTTTCATTCCACAAATATTGTTAAATACTTGCTATATGACAGGGTGATGGATACTGAGAATGAGGAAAAAACCAGATATTGTCCCTCCCCTCATGGAATAACTAATCTAGTGGGAAGGATGACAAGTACGAGCTTATAAAAAATGAGAAGCTACTGCAAAAATTACTAAGCAAAGGAATAGGGTATTAAGACAGAAAATAACAAAAGGAGTAGATGAGGAGACCTTGCGAAGTGTCTCTGACAACTTGATGTTTAAAAGCTGTGGTCTGAAGAAGAGTCCAAGTGGAGGTGTGCTAGACAATGTGCTTGGTTTTAGGGTTCATTGGTCGCCCTAATGAATCCCAAGCATTATCTAAACATTCGGTCTCTAAGAAAAATTGCAAAGGATAGGAGCATGACCCAGTATGCCCCCTCACCCACAGAGAATTCTGTGGGAAGAACCAAGGAGCTGACTTGGCTTGGGTAGAACCTAATCATGGAAAGGATCTGCTGTAGGTCCCCTGGTGCAATGGCTAAGTGCTGCTGCCTGGTCGCTTGCAGAAAGATCCTGAGGTAGAAAACAGCTAGGAGTATTTGGGGAAATGAGGAAAAACAGTGTAGCTAAAATGTACAGAAGGAAGAGATGAGTTTGGAGAGGTAGACAAGGACCAGATCATGCAGAATACCGCAAAAACACCTGGCTTTTCTAAGAAAGCCTCTACAGAGTTTTAGGTGGGGGAGCGCCATAATCTCATTTATGTCCGAGGAATACCATTTGGGCTCTTAAGTAGAAAATGGAGCAGAGAAGAAAAAGAGAGGTAGTAAGGAGACCAGGTAGGCCAGAAAGGACCTCTCAGGCCAGGAGAGAGAGGATAATGGCAAAGGCAGTAGAGATGATTTGATGGACATGGATTCAGGATACATTTTGGATTTCCACTGCCAGCTAAGGTGGAGTAGCAGGGACTAGATATATCTGACTGCTTGAAACAACTAAAAACAAAAGACGAGATACATGAAATAACAGTTTTTAGACATTGGGCATCAGGTAGTGCAGGACAGTGATTCCTGAAAAGGGAGCCTAGGTGAGCCCTAGGCTTGCTCTCAGCTCACTGTCTGGAGTCCCCAGGCGACGGGGTAGGGAGGGGAAGATCAGACAGAGCCCAGTGAGCTCCCGGAGCTGAGGAGATGGAGCTGAGTCTGGGTAGGTCGAGGGAGCTACAGTTCATGGACCAGAGCACTGGAGAGGTGTTTATAACTATATTTCAAATGCTCAAGAAGGCAGAGCAAAGATTATGCAGGCTAAGCAGAAATGCTAAAGATATAAAAAGACCCAAGTCAAACTTCTAGAAATGAAAACACAATGTCTGAGATGAATACATTGAGATGGATTAAGAGTAGATCAGAAACTGCAGAAGAAAAGATTAGCTAACTTAAACATAGCTATAGAATTTATCCAAAATAAAACAGAAAAAAAGGCTAAAAAATTTCTTAAAAGCATAGTTAAACTGTGGGAAAACTTCAAGAAGATTCATATATGTCTAATTGGAGTCTCCAAAGGAGAGGTGACAGAAAGTATACATGGAGAAAGAATGGTAGAGATTTTTTCGAATTTGATAAAAACTGTAAACCCACATGTCCAAGAAGCTGAGTGGACTCCAAGCACAAGAGGCATGAAGAAAACCTCACCAGAGCATAGCATAATCAAATTGCTAAAAACCAATAATAAACAGAAGACCTTAAAAGCATCCAGAAAAAAAAAAAAAAGACCACA